AAGCTCATGACGTGTTACTAGCGTCACATGACTTCCGCTGTCGTAACACTAGTATCATAAATTTAAAGTACATTTCATATGCTAGAGAGCGAATCTAATACTCAAGTGTAACTTCTTATCTGAAATTTGAATTTGTTTGTTTGTTTGCTGTTAAGCTACTCAATGGGCTATCTGTTTTGTGCCCAAAACGGGTATCGAAACCCGGTTTTTAGTGTTCTTAGCCTTCAGACCTGCCGCTGAGCCAGTTGGAGACCTGAAACTTGAAGAAAGATAACAGTTCAGAAACAACATTATTAGTTTAGGTTTTGCCGCATACAGATACGAAATATAGGTTGGTTTATAAACTGGTTCCAATACATTCGAAACTTTCTGATGATTGCACTGGGATAAGGGAGATTGAGGCTCATGATGTTTGTTTAAAATTGAAATCAAATTTCATATATTAGTTTATTTCCATACATTTATATTGAGTTTATCATTGATACTGAAACTTGAAAATCATGTGACTAACGTTTCTCATTGGCATTGAAAACTTGAAAATAGTGTAACTAGTGTTTAAAATGATCGAGTGTCTAGTGTTTAAATATGACTCTGTAGAGAAGCTAGTACTAATTTTTAATCTTCTCCGGACTGCATCTACCTAGAGCCTAGAAAAACCTAACATTTTTGTATCAGTGTTGATGAAAAGATCGAAACGACATCCACCTCCAGAACCCAAGCAGATGCAGTTTATAAACCATTAACTCCAATATAATTAGTAAGTTAACTAGGTACAAAATGTTTTATTAACCTACTTATTCAGCTTTTCCACCGCTATCCAATATTACACATTCACCATGTTTGTTTGTGTCTTTCGTAGATTTTCATTTTTAACTTCTAGTTACGAACTACGTGAAAGACGAGATCTATCATCATGGTGTAAGTTATCTTTCTTAGTTTAATTTTGATCTATCTGCAGTTTAAGGGCTTATAACTCTAAAACTCGGGGTTTCGATACTCGCTATGGGCTAAGCACAAATAACCCATTCTATAGCTTTGGGCTTAAGAACAAAATAAACAAAGTGATTACTTTACAATTTTATGTGAATATCGATCTTCACAATATGTATACACATAACATGTTGTAGTTTAATTTATGCCATCAGGAAAATTGATAAAAAGTTACGATAAAATAACTGATAATGTTTGATTATTTTGATAATTAAAATGTAAAATTTGGGTAGAAAGTATCATGGTGAAGTATCCTATAGTTTTTCTGCAAATTTGTAAAAACCTATTCGAGCTCTTATTTAAAATTCTGTTATCTCCTCATTTATGAGGTGAACAAAACCCTTTGTTACTCGAGAACAAAATGTATATCTCTTTCTCAGAACTAATGTATAAAATAATGCGATACGATTTTGCTCTATGTTCAATTGGCTTATTTAACACTTATCTCACAATCTTCTTCTCCGTGATGACCTTAATCCAAACCAGTTTGAAGTCGGCCAGCAATTTTGTAAACCAAAAACTTTTACACGCGGGTGGTGGACCTAGACGGCTAACCATGCGGCTAACTCTAATTGCAAGTCAAGCGCCCTAACCAGACAATGACCACTTATCTCATCATAAGTCTTATAAACGAAGAAACATTTAAACTCACTTTTCATTTCTTGCGAAAGTTTAATAACCAACAACTATTATGATGAAATCCTTGGTTTGTAATAAATAAAAATACATTCATTTAAAATAAACGAAACGTTGAGAAAATACAAGGTCTCCAGCGCATACACATAGATATTGAATTATTACAAGAAGTACCTCATTGCAGATTAGTAAAAGGCTTCTATTTCTGTAGCAAAATATAATACGTTGTATTATATATAATTATAAAAATAGTGAACAAAATGGATATAAAATCAAATATTATGGGATTTCTACCTCTAATAATGTGTGGGAATGAACTGCACCGGAGTGTAATCACATGTTGATAATTTACACTGTGATTGGCTGTCATCCAACCCATCAGATAGTGCCACACCAGCATGATAACTACGAATGTACAGGCATCCATATTATTCATTGCAGTACTTCGGTAAATGCACCCATGGCTCCCAGAAAGGAAATGTCACCAAACAAACATGATGAAATCTACTCTATGCGGCAAATTGATGCGAAATTTAATACTTCAGTAATAGCTGTATGGAAACCCCGAAAAGGATACATGACACTATTGCTGTTTATAATAAGAATGATCAAGGTAAAAAACCTAAATTAAAAAAGTTATGTTATATAATTCAGGGTATGCTCTTTACGTGCTACAGAGATCTTTCCAGCAATAAGTTGTAACTACAGGTGTGCAGCTTCAGTGGACATGTAGCTACACAAAAACTACCGCTAAGTACTGACAAGCAAACCAAAAGACTAAAATGTGCATCAGATTTCAAACAATGGAATGAGCATAGCTGGAGGAGGACGTGCTTTACAGATTTAAAAAAGTTCAAACTGTTTGGCAAAAAATCAACGACAGTTTGTTTGGTGGCAGAAGGGAGAACGGTATCAACATACAATATGAACCGTGAAACATACTGATGGGCTAGTACAAGTGTGAGCTGCATCTTAGTGTTGGAGATTTACACAAAACTGATGGCACTCTAACTGCTAACAGGTATAAGCACATTCTTATTTATCTTACCATTTCCTCAAAAACAAGGCCTGTAGGGTAGGGATTTATATTTCAGCATTACAATGATCCAAGGCATACAGCAAATGTGGTAAAACAATAGTTGGCATGGCTAATAACCTATAAGACTACCTAAGTTTAATTATCAATTAGTAACTTTTTTATAACTAGATGCTAATCGTTAACTAACTTTTGTCCAACTTTTCAGCTGCTAATCTACTGCCGTCTTCAGAGAAACCCTGAGATCGACTATTTCTGTGTTAATAGTAGCTGGGATTCGATCCTGGGTGTACCTATTAATATCTTCTGGTTTCTAGCTACTGATATCGAACGACACCGTTTAAACATTAATATATAACTTATTGAAAACACAAACCAAACTTTTTATATTACTCTTGATTATGGTTATATTTGTAAGCTGTTTAACTAAGAATGTTTTTCAAGTTGTTTACATCACATAAAGCATAATTTAGGCAAATAATTTTTGAAATTAGAAAAACATAAAAATTCTTAGAAAACTCGCATTGGAATTCACTCACTGAATATAAAACTGATTGAAGTGTTGAATTTGCGTGAATTAATGATGGTTTGAATACGTATCAATGAGTTACAGGAAGAAGTTACTTACATACAAATCCTTAGACAAGTAAACACATTCCCTCGGAATTCATCGAAACTTTGCTTCATAGCTTCTTGTACTTGAAGTTCGTGAAGCTCAAGAGCTGAAATCAAACATTGAGTTTAGCTGATACTATACATACTGAAGTATTGTTTTTAGGCTTCTTAATACATTGACTGTTAACCCTAGAGTTTTCCATCTGCACTCAATGAAGGATTATGGTGAATCTATCTCTTCAATTTAGAGATAAGTTTAAAACAACCTCCAGTGTATAACTTTTCTATACTGTTTTACATGACAAACTCGGATGGCATCGAATTTTACTTTATTCTTTTACGAAGTGACTGAAAAATAGTTTACAAACTACAGAACAGGTACAGGGTTGCCTATTTCAATAAAGTACTAATAGCAAAAGAGGAAAAGTGTGAAATTGTTGTTCTCAAGATAGATCCCAGAAGCCAAACAGCTTCAAGAGGTGATGAGAAACTAAAGGGCAGGTTCGGTCGTTTTACAATTGAAAAAATCCTCGTGTCAGAGAATTCAAGATAGATCCCAGAAGCCAAACAGCTTCAAGAGGTGATGAGAAACTAAAGGGCAGGTTCGGTCGTTTCACAATTGAAAAAATCCTTGTGTCAGAGAATTATAAAAGATGGATAAAGAAACGTAAAATGACACATCAGACAAACATGTTTTATTTTGTTCGAAGTAGATGAGCATTTAGATAATACCTAACTCTCTGTATAGGGGCAGGTGGCTTAATGCCTTCACGCTTTGTACTCGTAGTCAGATGGTTGGCCAGCGTCATGCTGTTGTGTCCTTAAGCGAGATACTTTATCCCACTTATTAAAGTCTACACAGTTGTATTATGGGTGCCAGCTGTTAGCTTGAGTTTAACCTGCGATAGAATGGCAAGGGGAATGGGTCACCTTTCTCAACAGCTTGTGCCACTTGAAACCGAAAGCACCATTCCTATATGACTTGTAAAGACAAGGCAGTAACTTAGCTTTAACTAACTTAACTCTCTGTGTAAAGTTTTGAAAAGCGAATTAATTTATATTATAGAAATAAATTGAGTCAATGTTTGTATATTTTATAAACTGCGTTTAACACTCTGGCTGATATTACTTCTCCATATCGATTCATATCTGTGGTATTATTGCTTCCTGTGAATGTAAAATATTTGAAATAAATCTATAAAGGTCATTAATTCACCAATGTGTAAATTACATATTCACATAATAATAATTGTGTCGTAAAAGTTCTGAAATAAACGAATTAAAATCAGAAATTTCCAAATGTTCAGTTTCGTTGTTGTCTTGTATTTTGAATTTATAAATTCATATGATTTTTCTGTTTCATGTGACACGTTTATAAAATTTTATATCAATTAAATCACGGAATTAAGATACGTTTACAAAGCTTTTAGATAAGTGTCGATTTGGTAATTTTATTAGTGCCATCTTTGTGAAGTGTGATCATAAATTAGTCTTGATTTAAAGATACATGACAATTGAAAGAATAAAAAAAGATTAAATATTCACTATAGTAGTAACAACAGAAATTAAAACCTTTTAATTAGTTTTCACAACCGTGAACAGTATAATGTGCAATCATAACATTTTCATTTCATGACTTGATAGTTCTGAAGAGGATCTATGATAATAATTAAACATAATATTTCTTCTCACATGATGAGTATAACCACCATTCTTTCATCTTCACAACGGATTTACATCCGAAAAATATAATGTTATCTCTGAAAATACCAGTAGTGTAGTGAAATATCAAATACGATAACAAAGCATGTTATTGTATTGATAAGATAACTTCCATACATATAGGACAATGTCCTATAAACGTCTCCTCATCTTGGAAACTTAACTTATACTCTAGAAACCAATGATTTTCGAACAAATTCAAACTAGCATTATTAATAATATTAAACTAGAGCAAAGAGTTCTTAAACACTAAAAAAAAAAATGTTTTCCAGTGAATGGCAACAATACTATTTACATCGATAATTTTAAAACATTCACAAACTCATATTTTAAATTAGAAAACAGTTACTTTAATGTTTTTCGTAAGATTTGTTTGTTTGTGTTTAATTATGCACAAAGTTACACAAGGACTATCTGTGCTCTGCCCACCACGGTTATCGAAACCCGGTTCCTAGCGTTGTAAGTCCGCAGACATACCGTTGTGCCACTGGGGAGCATTTTTCGTAAGACCTATCCTCAAATAGACCTGCGTGTTATTTTCAAGCCTAAATAGTTGACAGCAAAATGTTTTTAAACTTAAAGTGAAGTTTCCCGTACAAAAATATCTCATGTTGTCCTGGTTGTGATTCTAGGTACATAAGATCTACCACTAGATCACTTCTAACTCGAGTGTGAACATGCAAATCTAATGAGTGATAACAAGTTGAGTGTAAAAAAACATGTCATGCTTGACTGTAATGAAGAATCAAGTGGTGATTTGGTTTTTGGTAAAAACGTAATGATGATAGAAGTTTGGTTTGGTTTGGCTGTTGTTAAACACAAAGCCACACTATGGGCTATCTGTACTCTGCCAACCAAAGGTATTGAAACCTGATTTTTAGCGTCTTGAGCCTACACTCTTAGATGAAGAAACATTTTTAACTAAGTGGTTAAATCCCCAAAATTATGAAGTATGATCGACCGTGAAACTGTTTTTGAAATATTGCTCAATATTAATAAAATGCAACTTTTCACATACTCTAGCATACAAAAGCACAAAATTATAACAGTTTTAACCTACAGCACATTGCGAAATAGAAATAAAAACCTCAGACGCATCACACAAATATTTAAAATATTCTAACTAAATGTACAATGATAATCTATTCATTTAGAGCGGCTTGTATTTAAAAAATCAAAGATTATATTCAGATCTATCAACATTTTTTCGTCATATGTATATATTATACATATTATTCAGTGTTAAGCTAAACGTCTAGTTATATCCCAAAATACTTGTGTAATTTTTGAATAACTTGGATGACGTGGATGTGTATCATTTCTCTTCCTTTTAAACTTATTCTAAACAGGACCAGTATTGACCTAGAGGTTATAATTTTGGGCTGCATATCAAAGGGTCCGGGGTTAAAAACGTGATGTCATTGAACACGTTTTGTACTTTCACCTGTGGAATCGTTATAAAAATGGCAGTCCATTCTCATTATTCGGCTTAAAAAATTGGATAAGACACTGATGGTATTCGGATGTATATGGCTGATTACCATTCCTCCTGCCAAAAGTACAAAACTAAGGATAATATACTTGAATCCTAGAAGGCATTGATCTAACCGTTTAGCTCAAGAGGACGTATAAGGTGTCATTCAAGTTGAATATTTTAATTTTCTATAAAGTTTAAACTATAAATTTGAAAGACATTTGTCTTGAAAACATAATCCATTATCTGAAAACTTTCTAGCTAAAAAATGTTTTAAGATATATGAACACAGTTTTGATTAGTCGATAATTTGTTTTAAAATATGTGAACACAGTCTTAATTAATCCAAAAAATGTTTTAAGAATTGTGAACACAATCTTAATTAGTCGATAACTTTACTTGCATATCTTTGTGATGATTTAACAAGGTTGAAATTAAGAGCTGTGACGAAAGGCGACTTTAAATAAATGTTTCAAAATTGGAGCCTAGTTGCGCGATGATATGGTAATGTTGGAAGTAGATTCATCAACTATTAAAACCAATAAGTGCAGCCGTTAAAAGTCAAGATATGTCTCTTTCATAAACAAATTAATCTTTGTCAATAACGTAATAAACTTTATTACCTGATGACATGGTGTACAGTTAACTTGATTCGGTCGAACACTTACTGATATTAATGAAAGATCTAGAATTATCTTTGATAACTTTGTGATTTATCGGGTGGCTAAAGAATGATTGTGTGCTATTTTGGCGGCCTTATGAGTTGTTCATAGTTCTGTAGAATAAGAATGTAGTTTAAGTTTATTTAGTAAAATATAACATAACATGGCATTTAAGGACAACAAGGAACCCATTTACTAAACTAAACTATATAAATAAATTCAAAGGCGGGTTTATCATTTAAATTTTTATCCAATCTTCCCTTAAACCTCTTTAAATTTACTACATCCACCACATCTAAGTTAACCCATTCTAAAAGTCAAATACATTATAGAAAAGTAAAACTGTCTTAGCTGACGATGACTCCTAGTCTTCCAAAATTTATATTTCTGTCCCTTAGTCCTACCACTCTTACCATTAAGTACGAAGATAAAAAGACAATGCACCAACACTATCAGCTATATTAACGATATTAAACACTTAAATCAGATCCTTTCTAACTCTTCATTTTTCAAAAGAAAATAATTTCGTAACCTCTCCATTCCAGGTATCATCCTAGTAGCCCTCGTTTTTGAGGTACAGAACCTTAAACTGAACATAATACTTCAGAGACTGATCAACCAAAACGCAGAGATTTTCTTCCATAAAACTGTTAAAGTTATTCCCATCAGAATCTTATTTATAATTCAAATTATGATAACCCACATGCATTACTTTGTATTTATTAAAATAAAAACTCATTTGTAATTTATTCGCCCAATTCACCAAATAATATAAATCCTTTTGTAAAGCAGCAGCAGTATTCTCATAGCCAGCAACACCCAAGACATTAATATCATCAGAAAATTTAACTAATTTTTTGACCATTTTCTTAATCTATGTCACTGATGTACATCAAAGAGAGTAAAGGTCCTAACATGGAGCCATGAGGAGGAAACCTATTTGAGCTATTATTCCAGTTGGAGTGAACTTCATTTACAACAACTCTCTGTTTTCTTCCATACGGCCATTTTTTCGATCCAATGAGCCAAGTTATTTCTACACTCACAGATATAATTATTCTAACAAACCTTTTGTATGGCATCTTCTAAAATTCTTTCTGAAAACCCAGATAAACCAAATACACACTTTTACTTTTATCAAAATAAGTGGTAACCTCTCTAATGAATTTCGAAAAATTATTACGACAATATTTTCCCACAATGAAACCACATTGACTATCTAACAAAATTATAAAACTTATTAAATGAA